TAAAGCTGATGGTGCCATCCATCCATCCATCCACCTACCCATCCATCATCCATCCATCCACCACCCCTCCATCCATCCATCCACACATCCAACCATCCATCCATCTTATAACCACTTATCCTGGCCGTGGTGGAGGGCACTTTAGCTGTAGTGGAAAAACAATTTTGTTAATGTAAATATTGCAGTCTCATGTCATAAGACATGAGATAAAGGATATAAACAATTTGAAAATAATGGCAGGTGAGGATGTGCCGTGTCCACCCAGTGCCCACCCAGTGCCCACCCAGTGTCCACCCAGTGTCCACCCAGTGCCCACCCAGTGCCCACCCAGTGCCCCAGACCATGCTAATCTGTAAGCCAACGCTCCCTAAAGGTTTCTTCCTGCTTCCTGTGCGTCGTGAAATGCACATGTTATCTGCTCATTAACCCCCCACCATAATAATTCTTATCAATAGTTACACTGGAGGGACACTGGAAAACTGACGGCCGTAAAACAAGAGACAGACAAAGTCACAGAGACGCAGAGGGACACTCCGCTCGCTGATTCGATGCTACACCGCGCCGATGCCAAACGGCCCGTCTCGGGGCGCTGGCTCACCCTGAGAAAACACATTACGGAGGAAATAATGGAAGGGATGCTTGCAGGCCGCTGGTGCGCACTGCAATGGGAGCCGCGGCCCGTCAAAGACACTGCGGTAACCTTGCCGTTGTTCTGTTCTAATGTACCACAGCTGGAGCGGCACTGAGCTCCTCTGGGAGGCCTGTTTTCAGGTGGCTCGGAACATAACTGAGACACGCTCCGCCTCCAGGTAAACGGCTCACAGACCGCTGCCATCTTCTTTTAATGTATTTTGTCTTTTAATTTAGTTTGAGATGGACCTTGTTTCCCTTCGGTATGAAAAGGACTTTCAGTTCTCTTTGTTAAATGCTGGGGTTTCATGAGCAGACACAGCGTATATAGTGTCACGAAAAAAAGCGGAAACTCCTCATTGCTGAGTGTCCCTGTGGCTGTTTTTAATGGGGAAATCTCCCCTAACCCTTTTCAAAAGACCCATTTGTTCGGAGGTGAGATCTAGCATGTTATTGCTAAAACACATCCATATAATTTAAAATAATTTTTAATAAATAAATAATTACCATTTATTATCAAGCAACATGAAGATCTAGGTGGACTTGAAGTTGTTTGCATAGTTTGCAACTGGAATTTACCACATAGATCAAATCACTGGAATAAGGATTACATTTCATTTGGGCAGGGATCCTCCGCTGCCCGCGCGCAGTTTCTCACCAGTGTAAACTTCATGTAAACTTCAGGCCCCTTCTTCTTCATTAGGAATAGCTTAGCGCCCTCTAGTGTCTGGAAGGAGGTTAGCAGCTAGGATGAAATTACATCCGCAACAGCATGAGAAACTTAATCACAGTGAGACGAAAAAAAACGCAAGTGACTCTGCCTGCTGACCCAGCGTCTGCTTCCTACGAATTGTGTGAATGAATGACAGTCCCCTCTAATCACATAATTTCCCCTCCACCTAAAATAATCTGGGCAGTGATTCTGTGAACCGTGTACACAGGGGGTCCTAGGGGTCAGGTTAGCCTGTGATGGTTAGAATTAATGAGTGGCACACATCACACAGAAGACATCACGTGGTCATACACTTATTTTTTAAAGTATAAACGCAAAATTATCATATAATTTGCACATCACTCAATTCACAATGCCAGCTATACATATCCATCCATCCACCGTCCAAGCGCTTCCAGGCAGCACAAGGTTGCGGGGGTGCCCCGCTTTGGGTCCCTTTAGTCTGTAAGCCATGCGACCGAGGCTATGCCGCCAACCGCCATGGCCGCATTTCTGTTTCCTCCTTGACCGTTAAATGTCTGCGTTTGTTACTCCACATCGTCTTCTGCCTGCTTTAGGTGCATCGGGCTTTCGTGCGGCAGCCCTGACGGGTCCCTTTACTAGGTAGGAGGTCATTAACTCCCCCCCAAATCGAGGCAGTGGCATTAATTGGGTCGGCTCGGTTCATTTACTATGTCGTAATTATCCTGTGTCTCCGATTTCAGTCCTCGTGGTTCAGGGGGGATTTGATAATAACCATAATGTGATGATTACTGCTCTATGGTTGCTGGCAGATTACCGCAGTGCCCTGAAACTGCAGCAAGCCGCGTCTCAGAGGATCGCGGATACCAGCCGCCGCTGACATCCTTACAGCTGTTAAGCGTGTGCGTCCTTCAGGGGCATAATAAGGAAAATTCATTACAGGAATGTAGAAGCATCCTGGTAATCCTGCTGGAACTGAGCAGTGCTGTGGAGAAAAGGGCATGTCATTTTAACATCAAACAGCAGGGGGAGCCACAGTACAAAGATACCTAACATACGCAGCATTTGTTCATGACTCAAAGAGTAGATTTGGCTCCTTGGTGTCAAGTTTTGAAAAACTAATAAATTACATTTTACACATATTTATTTATATATATATATATATATATATATATATATAAATGCAATATATACAAATTATGGTACACTTGAGGAATCTTGCCAAAGTAGTGGATTAGCTGTGCATGCTGTGGCAGGCCTCTCTCACGCGTGCTGATTCAGGGACTCGTCACGGACGCTGGGTCACAGGCCACACGCTGCCGTCACTGAGCACGCGGCCAGCACACTTTCTGACGTGCTGTTGCCTAATAAGACTAATCGCAACCCCCTGTTGTTTTTGCCATTGTGAATGGGTGTGCGTTGGTGTGCGACCAGCCGCTTTCTGTTTTATTCAGCTAAATAGTCAAATGTTCAGTGAGTGAGCACTGAAACGGGACAGACACCAGGGGTCTGAGGATCACGCCTGGGGAAGGTGGCCTGGTCAGCTGGGTCGGCCCACAAGGCGGCCCGCAGCCCCCTGAATTCTGTGTGCGGCCAGTTGAGCCTCATGAGACAGACACCAAGCTTTTCATCAGAAAGTAGTTTTCTTATGAAATGTGATGCTGCTTCAGTAAAGCTGCTTCAAATCCAGAAACATCTGCACAGTTAAACTCTGTTGCAGATCATGTCATGTACAGGTGCTTTGTAACACTTCTTTTTGCATATCTAGTCACACCCTCACAGAGTGACGCTTAGGGGTCTAACTGCAACATGTCAAGCATGGGATGGGAACCCACAACCTTCTGATCACAGGTACTAACTCCTAACCGATTACGCCACATACCGATTGGCTTCTACGGATGACTGAATGCTCCTGTAAGGGCATGAGAAGGCGACGGGGGGTGAAGCTCCAGTGTGAGCCACCGTCTCTGGCCCGCGACACCAGCGTGGGCTTTTATAAAGGCAGCATGTGCAGTCAGACTGTGATGATATCATTGATCAGCTTGTCACCCTTTCCTGTTATTGTACATCCTGTGATAACTGCTTGCTGTATGGAGTAAACTGATTAAACAGAATTAAATTTTACCCCTTAAAGTAATTTTAACATATTGATATGTGAAAACTCTACTTACTGGCTTGCGGAGCATCTGGTGATCAATTGCTGACTGGCTAAAATGCCTGGGTGCCATGCACACTGCCCAATCAGAGAGCGGTTGGTTATGCTTCCTCACAGACGTGCAGTGGGTGCAGTGAGGAGGGAGTTTTACCATCTTCTGAAAAGAGGCCAGTGCCCCCCAAGCATTCACGGTAAAGGCAGACGGCTGGACGCTCACTGTCTTCATGAATATTAGTACGGTAAGCTCCTGTCCTTGAGTCGTGTTTCCACTGGCAGTTCCAGTGCTGGCAGTCAGCAGTGAGCTGTTATGATGTCGTGGTTTTTAAATTCCTGCTAGAAGCCACGTTTAGCGGCGCTGTCAGCATTGCGGCTTTGAAAACGTCGCCCGTCAGCTGATAGCAGGATGGTCAGCGTGTCCGGCGTTCTGTAAACCGCAGTGCACTCAGCTGGGTCTGCTAGGATCCAAACGGTGCTGGGTTTCCGGGCCCGTTTCAGGGGCGAGGCGGTTCTGTCTGCCACCTCAGCAGGCTGCAGTGTGGCCTCACATAGTGTCATCATCACCACCTGCCACAGGTTGCTGTACTCTATTTTTTCTGTATTTTTTTCTGTCTCTAACCACTCGTCCCATCCTGCTCTGTTCTAATTCCACTCTGGTATCAGCCAGAAGCCTTCTCCCTCAGTGACGTGTCTGTCACATTGAGGAGCTGTAACAACACGCTTAGACCAGGGTGTTAACCAGCATCTGGCAGGTGGACCAGCTACAGCTGCCTTGGGTGTGTATGTCTGTATTTGTGTCTTTGTCTCTCGGTGTATCTTTGTTAGTGTGTGTTTGTGTGTCTCTTTTTCTCTCAGTGTATCTTTGTTCCTGTGCGTAGCTGTTACTTTGTATGTCTCTGTTTCTGTGTCTCTGTTCTTTTGTCTGTGTGTGTCTCTGTTCCTGTGTTTCTGTTCCCTTGTCTATGTGTGTCTCTGTTCCTGTGTCTGTGTTTGTGTCTTTGTTCCCATATCTGTGTGTCTCTGTTCCCGTGTTTGTGTCTCTCAGTATATCTCTGTATCTCTCGGTGTATCTCTGTTCCTGTATCTCTGTGTCTGTGTCTCTGTTCCCGTGTGTCTGTGTCTCTCGGTGTATCTCTGTTCCCGTGTGTCTGTGTCTCTCGGTGTATCTCTGTTCCCGTGTGCCTGTGTCTCTCGGTGTATCTCTGTTCCTGTATCTCTGTGTCTCTGTTCCCGTGTGCCTGTGTCTCTCGGTATATCTCTGTTCCCGTGTGTCTGTGTCTCTCGGTGTATCTCTGTTCCCGTGTGTCTGTGTCTCTCGGCGTATCTCTGTTCCCGTGTGTCTGTGTCTCTCGGTGTATCTCTGTTCCCGTGTGCCTGTGTCTCTCGGTGTATCTCTGTTCCCGTGTGCCTGTGTCTCTCGGTGTATCTCTGTTCCCGTGTGCCTGTGTCTCTCGGCCTATCTCTGTTCCTGTGTGTCTGTCAGGCCCCCTTTACTTCTCCACAAGAACTGAGATCTGACAGCAGTCACACGTGGCGTTTCTCTCTGTATTTATTCATGAGACCTTCTGAAGCACAGAGCCTTTTCGCTGATTGCTCAGCTGAGTTTCGATATCAACACATCACAGGTAGGTATTGTGTAGTCACATACTGTACACTGCTTACACACACATGGATACATTTAAAGCAACAAGGAACATAATACACAATAACTGCTCAAAGTTCATGTTACACAGCATAAAAAGTCAATCACAGCTTTCCAGTGCTTTTCCTTACATCTCCCGCTATAGAAACTGTCAAATGAGTAAAATATAACTGAGAAATCCAAAGAGGATTTTAAAACGACAGAGAAATACAGTTCATATAACACATATATAACACAGTGGGCCATAGTAACAGGAACACAGCTGCTTACACTGGCGGCAGTTTGGCTGTTTGTGGACAGACGGACAGACACAGATGTGAACAGCTTGCAGAGGCTTCCCACTGTCAGGTAATCAATGGGCCACAAAATTTAAAAATTTATACATGAAAAGTTTTGGCACTTTTTAAAGTAATGTCTTGTTGGCATGTCCCCACAATATTTGTGACAGTAACCTCTGTCCCCATGGGGTCTGTGCATGCAGGCACACACACGCACGTACACACACATACACACGCACACACACAGGTTTGAGTAGCCCTCGTGACATTTCCCCTGAGACCTCGGTCAGTACGTCGCCTCCCCACCCTCCGAGACGCCAGGGACCCGTTCTCCTCCGTGCAGTTGTAGGATGTCAAAAAGCTTTAAAGGTCAGATGCTTTTCTAACGTAAAAAACACTAATTGGGGGTAGCTTTTGCGGGCCTGATCATCACAGGGTAGGCAGGTGGAGTTAAAAGGTTGTGGTTGTGAGGTGAACTGCTGTTGCCTGTACACCCCTGCAGTGAGGGTTAGCCAGTGCGGGGCAGAGAGCTCACCAGCTAAGGTGGGAGCGCAGCCCGAGCAACTTGTGCTTTCTCATGCAGTGCTCCACGCTCTCCGCTCTGACAAGGGCCTCCAGCTGAAGGCGCGAGAACACCTGTGTGAGGGGCCCGCGGGCGCTACCTGAGATGGCAGGTGCTCTGACCCAGGCCGAGCTACTGGAACTTTCCATACACAGCCAGAGCGCCACACTGCACCAGCCTCTTTCAGAAACAGACGTCTCGGCCCAGCCCAGCTTACCAGCCCCCAGCAGAGTTCAGCTGAGCAAATAATTAAAACGGCACAGTGAGCGTGGGAGATGCGTGATTGGCTGACGCTACAGGCACAGGAAACACCTCCAGGACAGCACAGCCAGCCAGCAGCACACCCTCAGCGCCCCCTGCTGGTGTCATGTGCACACAGGCTTTTTGAGCACACGCTAAGCCACACACACCCATACTACGGCTTCAGGTCACGCCTCCCCAGGTGCATAACCATTATCGGGCATGTCTGCAGTGGGGTTTGGGAGAAGTTTGTCTGTGTAAGATGATATAAACCCAGAAGTTTGTCTGGAAACTGCAAGCTTGAGGACATAATTAAGCCTATATGGGGAGTCTAATTTGATTTAAATTATTACTCCTAGAATTTCAACAATGGGGACAATAAAACGCCTCAGTCAAATCAGAAACAGTAATTTCTTATTACTTTTGGTTTTGAGATACTGTAGATCATCTATGGCTTTTACAGCTTAAATCCTCTATTGACCCAAACTTAAAGTAATCCTGAGAACCTTGGAGAGGAGATTAAATAATACTTCTCCAAGACCCTGCAGGAATCAATTCCCCCCCCCCCCAAATATGATTTCTCACTAGAAAAAACACTTAAAATGTGCGAATGCTGGTGAGAAGCAGGAGCTCTGGTTAGCGTCAGACATCAAGCCGCAGCCTGAGACTTAAGGCTGTTTCTGCAGCTCCTTCCTGCTGGTTTTCCTCCTTCCTTAGTTTAAAATGCCCCTTTCCTCCTAGAGCTGCCTTCGGTGGCAATTTAAAGCACATTATGGGCCTTTTCTTCTCATTATTTTTACTGGATGGTTCTTTTGTAGAGAAAAATACCATCCACTTAAGTCACTGGACCTAGACAATTGGCACATTGTGTCCCCAAATGGGGACAGTTAACTGGGTAGAGCAAGTGAAGGGGAGACTGCTGAAGTCTGGGCAGCCCGATGATTGGCTAAGGCTGCAGCTCAATGATTGGTTGAAGCTACAGGTCATGTGATATTTCAGCAGCTGCCCCCTCAAAAGTCCAGGGTGAGACCCAGTTGCAGGAAAGTTGCCAGCTGCTGTTTGGAGATGCATCCCCGCTGCCTGAAGGGGGCGTCTTATCTGGACTCACCATTCACTCTTATCACTTACGCACCATGCTACATGGATGCCGACCTTGGCCACTAACATGGGCGCTTCTCATCATCAGGAGATAGATCTGCTGACAATCACTGTGCTTTTCAATCAATTCAAAAAAACACTAAAAATACAGAGAATATCTGTGAGCCAGACCACAACATGAGCACAAGATAAACTCACACGGCCTCACAAAATAGAAAAGAGGATATGGTTTTCGAAACACACATTTCCATCATGCTAGAAGGTTCTATCTACATCAGATGTAGCTCATTGTACAGCAGCAGGAGTGCGGCATCTCGCTCAGCGTCTTCCTCCCTCCGCACAGACACACCTCAGCCATTCCTGGGCATCGTCTCACTTGTTTCTTTCCTTCCTTTGGGAAAAACTGACTCATTAGAGATAGATAGATGGGAAGCCGGGTTGGGGGGGGGGGCTCCTTACCAACTACATGGTACTGGTGCATCATCAGTGTTGCTGATTTCCCAGCCCTGACTCTCCCAGTGAAGCCACAGGCTGTGGTCCCACAGGCCGACTCCCACGGCTGTGATCTGGCCTCTGATTTCACAGGAGTCACTGTCAGCTGCTCTCTGTGATGCTGTGTTACACACGCAGCCAGTTCTTATTACCACATATTTAACTCGAAGGGCAGTTACTTGTTTGGCTTTATGATTAATGACTTTTCCATGGAAAAATGGTGATTAATAAACCCAATCGGTAAAGACAAAAATGCAGAAGAACTGCATCAGGTGACTCAAGCCAACATGCTGCATCTCTGCAAGACATACGGATCTCAACAGTCAGTGTCTATTGTCTTATTAGGGGCCATATTTACTGGGGGGCGGGGGGGGGAGGCCCTGAAACTGAATAATGACCATCTGAGGCAGAACAGCCCCACAAGACATGAATGTGCTGCAACCAACACATATGGACTCAGAAAACAAACACGGAGGCCCACTGGCTGCCTCAGGCCCACTGGCTGCCTCAGGCCCACTGGCTGCCTCAGGCCCACTGGCTGCCTCAGACGGGTGCTTCCTCATCTTTTTTTATCATTATTAAGGGATTACTAATGTCCGTGTTGTCATTCTGAGTGAGAATACATCTCTAGGAGGAAGCTACTTTACATTCACCTGCCCACAGCTGTCTGACACTATAGTGAGGCCAGGAAGCAGTAGGTATGTGCATGTACTGCACCGTAGAAATGTTACATAGCTACAAACACAGTGATTGTAAAACATAACCATAGTTTCGGAAAGGTGTCACGCGTTCAGTCGGAGCATAATGTTCTATGTATTAACAGTTGTGGCCTTATCTCTGCATCATGTTTGGCTTGTTTGTCTGTTCGGTCTGGGGTCTGTTAAGCCGCTTCAGAGTGGTAGCACTTCTCCAAAGCTGAATCTTCTCAGTGGAGGTGATGGACCACCGGCTGGGGGTCTCAATGTTTTCCTGACAGCTCTGAAACACCCCCTCCTCGGCCATTTGGGAGGCCGGTAAAGGGCGCGGCGCTGTGTGGGTGTGGCCTGCAGCCTGCAATGTCATCTGGGTTGGTGGGCGTGGAGAGCAGCTACAAAAAGCTTTTTGTAGAGATTTCCATGGGTAGCTGGCAGGTCCACAGGCCCAGGTGCATCATGGTCCTGAGTGCCCCACCCCCCCTGCTAGGTGGCAGCTGGGTCACATGGCAAATTGAGCCGGACGGCGCCCCCCCCGGCCGTGGAGCTGGAGTAGCAGGCGGAGGTGAGGCCGTTGCCTTCCATGGTGAAGAGCTTGCAGGCCCGCGGGTCGGGGGTGAGGTTTGGGTCCGGGGTCAGCTCCGGGAGTCCCGGGCCGGCGGCCAGGCCCAGGGCATCGAGGGTGGGGCTGGAGGCTCTGGACGAGCCCAGTGAGTTGGTGGGGCTGAGCTGGACGGCGGTAGTGTCCTGCAGAGTGTGCTCACTGGTCTCAATCTCGAAGGCGGCACCGCCCGCCCGTGTCAGCCCCAGGCCCCCGCCCCCCCCCTTGGGCTTGCGCGAGCCTTGGGCGGGGGGGCGCCGGCTGCATACACAGCACGCACCGAAGAAGGTGAAGGCCACCAGCAGCAGCACAGGCCCGATGACGATGGCGGGATTGCTGCCGGGCAGCAGCGTCCCGAACGCGAAGGCCCCCACCAGCGTGATGTTGATGCCCGCCAGCATGATGCAGAGGCCACACGCGCAGCACAGCGCCGGCGATGGGAGCCCCTGCGGCCGCGTCTTCTTTTTGGGGGGCTTCTTGGGCACCGAGGTGCTGGAGCTCTTGTCCGTGAACATCATCGCTCTCGGTGTGGGATGGGCGGCAGGGGGGGGCTTCCTCTACCTCGGGGACGGGGCGGCGGGCAGCAGGCCCCCCGGGCTGAGCATGGGGGCACCTGGCACAGGAAAGCACAGCGTTAAGGTGCCGCATGACACATCAGCCATTATGAAACAGGGAAGGCGGCATGTCTCAGGTCCCTCACAGTGCGGTAACGGCCAGGGAGATGTTGGCGACGTCGGTCAGTACCTACAAGATCTGGCTTGTGTGGAGGCTTGAATCCATCCCTCCCCTACATGCAGACTGTGTCCCTCCCAGCTGCCGCTTTGACTTTCATGGTTATGAAAGTTCCTGCTGACGGCCTCCCGTGGCTGTTTGACGGTCGGCACTCTGGCCCGTCCGCAGGGTCGCTGCCAAAGCCGCCGGCATCATCAGAGGTTTCTGCACGTTGTGAGGACATCCTGCCGGCCCCCCCTCCCCCCCCCCCTCTGTCAGCCCGTGGCACGGTGGCCATGCGCTTCTCAAGGTTGCTCCCAGAGGGGCGCCATTGTAACACATGTGCCTCAGAGATGCCCCCAAGTATAACATGACATACTTTATAGGTATAAAGGTGTAAAAATAATCGTCTTTGACACAGATATCCAGTAATCCAGTAAATAAAAACCAAGAGAGACTGTCTGTTTGTAGAGTTAAGTACTCTGGGAAGGGAACTATATAAAAATAGGTGTAATTCGCCCTGCAGTGCCTTCTAGTGGAAGGTAAAGGACGTGCGGCTCTTTCTCTGGTGGCTTCTCTGAAGGTCTGAACATACAGCACTCCTTCACGCTGAATGTGCAAAATTATGTCCCACCAGAGGTCGCGCAGTTCAACCACAAATTCAGCAGACGTTATGCCATTGGTCCGCATATTCAGCACAGGTCATGTGATTAGTCCACATATTCAACAGAAGTCACGCAATTGGTCCACATATTCAGCACAGGTCATGCGATTGGTCCACGTTTACAAATACAGCAGGGCAAGGGTGGATGGAGCAACCCTGGGCCACACACTCTAGGGGGTGCCCCTGTTTATCTGCACTTTTTTTAGTAACAAAACACAAATGTAATAATAATACTACTTTACTGATCCCCGTGGGGAAATTCTCTTTTCACCTACCCCATCTTGCTCTCCATGACACAGACATACATGTAAGTGAGAGTAAGCTTGGCAGTGAAGGGCAGCCACCTGCAGCGGCGCCCATAGAGCTGGGGGTTAAGGGCCTCTCTCAAGGGCCAACAGACGTGACTATTCTGCCAAGGCTCGAACCGGCAACCTTTCCATCACGGGCACAGAGGCTCAGCCTGCTGAGCTGCACACTGCCCCCATGGCCACTGGGAACCAATAATATAACCATTTTATTTGGAATATTATAATGTGTAGCATAACCCCTCCCCCGTCGGCGAATCTTACCAGCAGCACTCTCGCCCCCACCTCGGTGGGTAAGTGTTACTGCTGGCACCCTGCACTTTGATTAGCATGTTACTGATGTTCCATCATTATTAATTCCCTCTCGTTTCTCTTTCAGTTCCAAAAAAATTGCTCAAATGGCCCATTTAGAAGCCCCATGTCAGCCAAAGGCCCCCAGAGGAGTTAGTGCCCTGCAGCAGAGGTCAAGTGACTGGACAACACATTTAGCAGTGGTCACGTGACTGAACCACACATTTAGCAGTGGTCACGTGACTGAACCACACATTCAGCAGAGGTCACATGACTGGACTGCACATTCAACAACTGGTTTCACTAACAGTTGAGTTTCCTGTGTGCACCAAGTTAAGCGATAACATGTTACAGCAGGAGAATTTTCATTGTCACCATAAGCTTGTCTGGATGATATGACTGTGACCCCCCCCCACAGACAGTGATCACGCACCCAGCACTGTGCCCTTCATTTCATTTCCGTCAGGCGCTATCACTGCAACTTGGATCCTCGTTTGTTTCATTCTGATTTGATCTGAATTCCCAACGCCTTCGTTTGAGCTCTGCCAGCAATATGGATTCACAAGCTGTACGAGCTTCAGAGAGCCGGTGCTGAAGCCTCCAGCACGTGATGGGTTCTACGCATGGTGATGCCATTAAGGCCTGGAGAGGGCAGCTCGGAGTCTCTAATGAAGCCCTCGACTGATGCCCACATCCATCCCTCTGAGCTAATTCTTTGGCAGCGTGATGCCGTCTGCAAGGCAGCTGCTCTGACCGTTTTGGAGCAAAAAATCCTCCGACTGGGATGTCAGGTTCAGATCTGAGGTGTGATCTACAGCTCAGGCGAATCACAACTGCATCACGTGTAGAGTCCTACCTGTCCTCTCCAGTCGTCAGCTCGCATGAAATATTCCAGAGTTCTCGACACCTTGATGACAACAAACAGCATCCAGTGTTTTCCCGATGTGGATAATAGTGATCACGTGGGGTGCTCAGTGCACTTTTACCTACTGGACACACAAAACTCTATCTCATCATCAAAGCAACAACCAGCACAAGGTTCACGTTAGCCAGTGGCTTTGGGGTAAGTACCAGGAGCACCTTCCCTTCCTCACCTGTCACCGAGTCCTGGTTAGCAGAAACCTTCTAGAAGCAGCATGCAGACAGAAGCCCGTATCTCAATGTCAGCCCCAGACTCTTTGTAACTCAAATGCAGCTTGAGTGAAAGTGAGGAACAGAGCAGAGTTTGGAAGTGGGGATGTGGGGGGGGGGCGGGGTTCACCTTGGTGCTGGGGGTCCAGCATGGCCTCGTGGTGCAACTCTGGCCACTAATTGCATCCATAACATTCCCACACTGGAAAACTGGATAAAATCCATGAAACACAACATGAATGCTGTGCAGTCTTAGTATTTTCATGGACTAACATTTCCAGAAATCTAATGTGTTGGAAAGCGCTTAGTCTGATACTGCATATCATATTGAGGCTCATGTCAAACATCTGTGTAAAACATCTTATTTCCACCTCAGGAAAATAGCAAAACTGCGTCCAGCACTCACGTTTGCTGACGCAGAAAAGTTAGTCCATGCGTTTGTCTCCTCCAGGCTGGACTTCTGCAATGCACTGCTCATTGGGACTACTGGAAAAACTCTTCAAAAGCTGCAGTATATTCAAAACAGTGCTGCTAGGATCCTGATGGGAGGGCGTAAATACGATCATATCACGCCCATTCTTAAATCTCTTCACTGGCTCCCTGTTTCATTTAGAATTGATTACAAAGTTGCCCTTCTTATCCACCAGTGTATTTATGGGGACGCCCCTCCCTACCTCAAAGAACTTATCGCCCAACATTCGTCCTCACGAAACCTCCGCTCTGTATCATTACATCTTTTGAAAACCCCTAAGACTAAACTTCAGAGCATGGGAGATCGAGCCTTTTGCGCAGCTGCACCTAGACTGTGGAATGCTCTTCCTGAGTATCTGAGGATGCCACAGACTGTTGATGCTTTTAAATCTGGTCTTAAAACTTATCTTCTTAACAGAGCTTTTCGGGTTTAATTAATTTTGTAGCACTTTGAGATTTGCTTTCAAATATAAAGTGCATTATAAATGAAATGTATTATTATTATTATTATTATTATTATTATTAATAAATTAATTTTCAATATATCTCTTCATGTCTGCTTGCTTCAAAGAGTTAATCCTTTTACAATGTACACAGTGACCTGACATGAAGCCGTATTCACTCTAAATCTGCTCCAGATAATTTTTACTTTAACTTAATTTAGATGTTACACCCCCCTCTGCCCCCCACCCCCCTAGAATTTTCAGTACCATTTCAGCATCTGCGTTTTCGCTCCCGAAAATGAGCTAAGTGTTTATGGAAATTTTATGTAAGCCACAATGTGGTGTTTGGAAATAATGTGTGTTTGACTATTTGACATTTAATATTTAAACAAATGCAATACAGTATGAATATATATAGCAATTTCCAGAATATATTTTAGAAATTTGTCATAGTCCAGGGCGGACTGAGGACAGACATCCGACCGGCATCAGCCAACCCGCTCTTTTCATGCTGCTTGGCTTCAGGCGGTTAATCTCTCTTTCCCTGTTTGTCATGTTTCTGACTGTGTAAACAGTCACCCGCTGCCTGGTGTCTGGCGGTTCTGTATTTATCAGCTTTTCGGGCAGCTGGATTGATGGATTGTCACCCCTTTCTAACACGACACCCCGGACCCGAGTTTTACCATTCAGGGACCCCATTGTTTTTGCAAAACGCAGCTGAAAACTAATATTTAAGGAAGACTGTTAATTTACATTTGGGCTAAAAATCCAAATACTTCAGTAACTCCGCAAACTGTACGGGCTGATTTCCACATGATCACGAGAAGTGGGGCGAATTGCGGACCCACGACCATATACATATACGATTACAGACTAAAGCGCGTCTCCGAAAGCGCACGATAATGCAACGCCGTGTAAAGCGTGTATTTCAGCTGTCAGTATTCAAATGTCCAGTGTTGCGACTTGTCAGCGCAAAATTAAGGCTGCCCTTTCATTTCCGTAGCCGTTCACAGTTTTGCAGTATTAATAAATCCATAAAAACACGACACCATAAATCAGGTTTTGCGCGTTAAACCCGCTTTATGGCCGCAGTAATCGAGCATGATTTTGGAGTCTCTGGCACATCAGGGTGCGCAGACAGAGCAGGCACCGCATGCCGATGTGTCTGCAACGGCTGCCCTCATTTACCCCGATGCTCATCACACGGTGCAGCTAACGAGCCGGGCTGGCCGATCCGGACCATCTTACCGCGGTACCGGTGTAGCTCCAAAGGCCGGCGGCTTCGTATGCTCCTGGGAGGCTCCGAGACAGAATACCCCGGCAAACCCGGAGCCTGTCCTGCGGTCTGTGCGCTTTCAAAGCATCAGCTGCGGGACTCGGTGTAAAAACGCGACTATTCACGCTGCCGGTCGGGCTGAACAGCAGGAGTCTCGCCGCAGCGGCTCGGCAGACGTGCTCCGTTCGTTTCCCTTCGGCGCTTACTCCAGATGCAGCCCAGCCTGAGCGCCATGTGACAGCGAGTCCTTCAAGCTCTGCCTTCCTCTCTAAATATATCACCTATATTAAATATTAAATTATTACCCTGCTACACGCACATGTTGGTACTTGCATTTTTACTTTAATGTTAAGAAATCCCACGCTTTTGGAAAGGCGGTCTTCTTATTCTATAAATGAATGAATTGATTAATTGATTAAAATAGTAAAAACATAAATGAGGACTCTGCTACCCTCTGCTGGCCCCTATCCAACGTCCCTCTCGCGGAGTGTGTTCGCGTCGCGGTCCGGCCCCAGGAGTGACTTGAGGCTTCGGCTTCGGCTCCGGCTCCGGCTTCGGCGGACAGCGCCTGGTGCTGAACAGAGCCGGCCGTGGCTTTTCAGAGTCACAAGAGCACTGCAGACTATTTACGTCCCGAAGAATAATGGAAAGAGAAAAAAAAAATCGGGAAAAGAACCAATCGTGTGTATTCCCTTAAAATGATAATGGGAAAAACGAAACTAATTGCATTACTTTATTTTGAATCTGTAATTTGCGATACTTAAACGAAGAGTCTTGTGAAAATAGTACCGTATACAAACCAGGGCAGGCCTCACACACTGTGGCCCACTCTGACCCAGCTGACATGCATATTGACAGGGTTCTCATGACATCCATCTGCCATGATAGTGCCTGCCCCCCCACCTCACCCCCCACTCTGCCACGGCCTGTGAAGGTGGAGGGATACATTGCAGACTGCACCCCCCCTCCCCCCCAACATCTGGGCAACAGTACATTGGGAGGGGGGGGGGTGCGTCTTTGAAGTGTTGTTGGGGGGGGTCGGGGTACTGCCCATCAAAACCAGAGTGACTGCGTCATTGCACCCCCACCCCCCCATCGTGGCTACTATCACATGACACGCCGCTGGTGAGTGCTCTGTGCGTGCCCCCATGATAAAAGCCACAGGGTGCCCCCATGATAAAAGCCACAGCGTGCCCCCGCATGATGGGCTGCTGCTGAGGTGCTCAGCCTTCTGTCCTTCCTGTTTCCTGTCACAGGTTTCGATGACATCATCCCAAGTCAGATTGTATACCCAGGGTCCCTGTAATTGTTATGCACCGGTGGCGTGGGGATTGGACTACTCTGAAGGTAAATCTGCTCTGTCATGTTTGGGGGTGAATCTCGCTGGTCACATTGGGTCTGACCATCTTCTCAGAGGACAGGTTTGGCTCTGACCATCTTCTCAGAGGACAGGTTTGGTTTGGACTGTGAACTGTCTTCCTTTCTCTGAATTCAGACTCAGGTTTGATCCCATGACTTTATTGCCAGAGCACATAGTTACATGGTCATCAATGCATAATAATGAAACAAACTAATCACCAGTAGCAAACATAAAGAAGAAAAGTACACAGTGAAAGAGTGAAGCAAGCGCCCCCCCATCCTACTCAGTCCCATCCTTGCCCCCTCCCCCCCCATTGAGTGCTGGTGAGTCTGGCCGCTGTGCTCCTTCGCTCCCCACTCCCTTTTGTGTCTCCTCTTCTTCCCTCCCCCCTGACACACTCTCCTTTTGCCAACCATCCATCACGTTGTGGCCGGATAAACATAATGACCCCCGACCCCCCCATTCCTCTTCCCGCCAGGCTGCTATTCACTGTTTATTTTAAGCCTGACACTGAATGCTGCACTAAAATGGATCTACACCAGTGTTTCGGAAAGTGAGATGTGGCGTGCAGTGCTTCCTTTGTGCTGATTAGTGACTGCATCTGGCACCGCCATCAAATGGGGTCTGGAGCCTATCCTGGAGGCTGCAAGGCAGGGAACAACCGAGGATGGGGTGCCGACCCATCGCAGGGCTCACTCACACACATGCACACCGATCGGTAATTTGGTAATGTCTGGGGGGGAACTGGAGTACCCGGAAGAATCCCCTTGGGGAGAACATACAAGCTCGAACCCTGGCCTGAGAGGTGTGGGGCGACAGCGCTGACCACAGTGCCTCCGCCCTCCATCAAATCAAAGATCAAATTATAGTTCTGAGATATTTTACGTTTTTTTCCCCTTCAGACACCTTGTTATTCCCGCAGCATTAAGAGCTTTATTCTTTATTTACTAATTGTGCGTTGGTTCTGGTGGTGGCATGACCAACTCAATTCACTTTAATTTGTACAGCACGTTTTCACAACATTACCTTGTCTCTACGTGCTTTACATGATCCCCGCCCAAAGCCTGTCTGGTTGGATGACATTCGTATCACATGACATCACTGCTCACTCTTTCTATTCTCATTTTTCAGTGTCATTTGTGCATCACAGAACTTCCTACTCTGATAATTCAGGCCCTGTCTGTGGGAGTAGCGACTCATTTCTCTAGCGTGCGGCATTTTAAACGATTCCCACATACACTATGTGGCCAATGGCATTGGGACACCTGGCCATTACACCCACAGGAACTATGATGACGTACCATTCTGAATAGCATCAGTATGGAGCTGCTACTTTGGTAGTGTATGTTACTACTGAAACCCATAATATTAGCAACGCAGAAGCACAAGTCAAGGAGGACAGAGTGATATCAGAGTGCTACAAGGCTCTGGTAACACTTTGTGCAAAGCAGTGCAGCTGAATGAGATCAATCACATCCCCAAAACTGTCCTTATGAAATAAAATTAATGCAACACAAGAGCATAACATAGCCATGGGGGATTCTCACTGTCAGCTGTATAGTAAGACCGCTCTTGGGAATGGGGGGTTGGGGGGGGGGCGGGCGTGGAGAAGTGAGGGATTATGGGTCGCCTAGATCAGAAGGCTGCTTGAACTTCCGCCGGGCAATAATATCCGGAACATCAGAGGAAGGCCTAAAAGAAAAGAGAATCGGTTTGGAGCAGAGCCGAGGGGTGCCGGGTTATTACACTCAGGGAGATAATGCAGACGCGTTTAATCAGCTACCTGTCATCCATCCTTAATGTGCTTTTTAAACTGCACTTTATGAGGGTGTGTGTGCATGTGGGTTTGCAGGGGGCGGCTTAACGGTGGCTTTTCCTCAACAGATTGAAATAGACGCGTCAGACCACCCTGAATTAGAGAGGTGGGCTTGGTAACCACGGCAACAGCATCCACAGCAGATGATTGGATGCTTGCAATGAGCAGGATGCAGAACTGATCATAATCTATACAGCTTTCATGTGGAAATATTGCTTAGTTTAGGGTAACCTTAAAAATGAGTCATCTTACGCATAAGTTAGCTAGTTAATCTGTTAATCTTTAAACAAAAACAACTGTAAGATGTTAGATGTAAACCATAAACGATGTTATATACTTTCATTTATAGGGAAATAAAATTGAAAAATCACATTGATGTATTTAATACTTGTACCCACTTAGTTATAATGCTTTCATATTACTGCATGGTTTTGATTCTGACTTCTGAAATCATTCAAGTTAGTAAATGATAGATGTAATGTTCATCGTACATCCATTTTTTCAACATGGAGGGGATGGGTCCTGGCAGGGCAAGCCTTGGTGGTGCGACCTGCCACCATGCCAGCTGCTGCGGCTGCTTTTATTGATCATTTCCGATCCCTGGTGAATGTTATGTGAATGATGTCAGACCCCTAACCTGTACTAGTCACCAGTAAAGCCGTATCAACTAGTAACTGCGGTTTGCGTGTATCTTGGATTGATCTGCTTCACACAAATACTGCACAGAAAATTGCTGATGATGCTCGTTTGAATGATCTGAAATAAACTGAGAAACAACGAGCTCTTCCATCAGGGAAGGCAGGAACGTAGCATCACGACGCTTGGAGTCTGGCAGCCGGACACAGTGAGCCTCCTAATGAGATCAGCATATGAGAAGGTCAGATCGTAACCTGATTACATTCAGAGTAATGCTTGTGCCATAAAAGCTGAATGGAACATGATTTGGTATTCCTGGCTGCGTTATAGGGTTCACGACCCTCTCTATCGCTTCCTGCCTCCGTTCCGAAAAAAACAGCCCCTCAGAACACAGCTTGTTTGCACAAAGCAAATTGACAAGGTGAGCTAAGCTGTCGCATTAATAATAAATGCAGGTGGAAATGTGCACCATTCCGAAAACATCCTATGAAAAGTGAGGAGTGGCTGCTCGCCGCCGACACCGTGTGGCTGCTGATCTGGACCATGCGGCCGAGGCTAGTGCTCCTCAAAAGACAAGCATGGGGGGGCGGCAGCAGAAGCTGATCGAACGTTAGGGAGATGTTAGAACCTCTGAACCGTCACGGCGTCCAACAAGCAAGAGTATGTATGTGCAGAGGGTCACTGGTCCGTGTCTGTGGGCAGGTCGGCAAGCTGAATGGCTCCTAACAGACACCGAACTGCCTCTGTGAGGTGGAAGGAAGCTCGGGAGATCACGAGACATTAGAGATTCACGCAGGCTCACTAGCGTCGTCATTTATCCTTGACTGCCTTCTTGCAGTGTTTTTAATATCTACTGTAGCAGCTTGGAGATGATAGCGGTCCCTGTACATGGTAATAAAACATGCACCAGTACACAGAGGTAAGAAGCTGCCATTTCCAGCCACATTAGAGACTATAAGCATCTCTTTGCACACATCAGCTGGTGCGCATCCGGAGCCCCGGGGGACACTTACCCCTCCTCTGGCGGGGCTTCGGTCGCCAGCACTTCCGGGAATGTTCCCTGTCGGCCCTTGGATCGCTCCTGGTTCAGCTGGCTTTGAGTCGCTGGGGAAAGATGACAATCCTCGGATCAGGGCGCGTAGGTCATGGGCTCCGGCGGGCCGAGAGCGCCTCCTGTCAGCCCCAAGCAGCCCTGGAGAGCTTATAGCGCTCACCAGCAAGCGTGTGACCTCTGCACAGCCCTCTAATCAGCGGCTACTGCTTTGAAGCTTCACCAGGCCCGGGATAACCTCTTTTTCCGGAAATTTCTATCTTATTGCACCAGTGCAGCACAGGGATCCGAAAGGTTTCGGGCCGTGGCTAGAGACCTCTGTGATGGATAAACTGGCCAGCTAAGCTCAGTGTGACTCACTGCTGACCCTGTGCTGGACACTGGCTGTAATCCTCCTGAAACCCTGCGTCCGGAGGCTGGGACTCGGGCAGAACTCTGACCTCCATCTGCCCAGTTCCCACCAGCAGCCTGGGGGTTAACAGCCCAGCATCTTGGATCCACACACGTTTCTTTTACGTGGAACCTGCAGCACCGTCAGCGGCGGCCAGGAAGCCCTTTATCTCCTTGCTGTTTGTTCTGTCGTGGCCCCAGAGGAAGCACAGCTGACAGTGAGTGACGAGGCGAGCCCTAGTGACACATAAAGAGGCGGCCGTCCTGAGCACTAATGCTAAGCTTAGCGTAAACCTG